ATTTCAAATCTTATTACCAAACCCTCCCAGAAAAATCAGCTTGCTGGTTGTCACCAACCATAATGTCACCAAATCGACATATTTGGGGTGGGGGACAAACTTAAAATACCCAACATTTTTGTCGGACAAATTTTTGGGGGGTTTAAAAAATATATATCTTTCATTTAAACTAAAAAAAAGTGCTGGTCATAACATTCCATGTCTATACCAGATTGACATGTTTTCCTGAAAGTCACGGGAAAACTGACCACTGTTGAATTTTCCTCGTAATCAAATCTTGGGAGACTCGTCAAACTTAAGCTGCACGCAAAGTTACAGCTTGCTGGTAATCATTTCTTTCTTTGTACGTGGGCCCGTGGACTATACGTACCGATGACTTGCGGTCGCTGTCTCGGAATATGCGCCATAAACAGGACCATAACGGGATATCCTAGTGATAACATGTAACCTCATCCTCTAAAGTAATAATTTACAACGTTTCTAATTATGACTATAAATACTAATCATATATCCTTACATACAAATTTCAGGCTGAAAAACTTGAAATCATTCCGTCAAGGCTATGGACTAACAGAGGCAACATTCGCCGTTACAATAGCTGATAAGGAGAATCAAAAACCAGGATCATGTGGTAAGGTTGGAACGTTTATGACATGCAAAGTAAGAGATCCAGAAACTGGAAAGAGCCTGGGGCCTAATCAAACAGGCGAACTGTGCTGCAAAGGACCGTTTATCATGATGGGGTATTATAATGACGAAAAAGCAACGAGAGAGACTTTTACTTCTGACGGATGGTTAAAAACTGGCGATTTAGGATACTATGATGAAGAAGGAAATTTTTATATAGTGGACAGGCTCAAAGAATTAATTAAATATAAAGGATATCAGGTAATGGTATATCAAACATTAATCAATTTCTGCGAGGAACAAATGAACTACAAACACAGCTATACAATAGTCTAAATGTACCTATATTATGTTACAAAGTTTGTAGTTTTATAGTACCTACTAGTAAAATACATAATATATCTATCACGTGGAATTATATTTATATTCAGGTAGCTCCAGCTGAATTGGAGGCACTTTTACTGAATCATCCAAAGGTTCGTGACGTAGGAGTAGTTGGGCTACCAGATGAACTATCAGGGGAACTACCATTAGCTTTTGTCGTAAAAAAAGAAGGACTAGATGTTACAGAAGATGAATTGCAGAAATATGTTAGCAGTAAGTATCAAATAAGGAATTCGACTTAGGTATTACCCGTGAATTTTCATGAGATTGTAGTGTATCGCTTAATAAAGAGTAAATATGTAATAAATATTTGACAAACTGTTAAATTAACGACTATAAAGAATATACTTAGTTTATATATTATTTTGTATAAGTGACACATGACAAAAATCTATTTTTGTTTATAGTTTTCAATCATTTATTAGGTACTTAAAATCTTATTAGAATTGATTTGGTCAATCGGTTTGGAAGATGTAAAGAAAAACAGTTTTTTTATGAAAAGTCGATCTTTTTTTTCTTATTTTTTGAAGTATTCCTTATTTTTAACATTGTATATACAATTTTTTAACCCTCTGTATAAACATATTTATTTCACTATTTTTACATATACGATATTCAATAAAGTCGTTCAACTTTAATAATACTTACGAAAAAACAGTTTGATTTTGCATTTAGAAAAAAATTATAATTTTTACTAGCAGCAGTAGATCTTCATTGTGATTTAAATATAATTGCCCTGTAATAGTCCAGGAAATATAGACTTGGATGTGACTTTTTGTTTCGTCAAGCTGAATTTATAAATGCTAAATATTATGTACAATAACATATTAGTTTCCACAGTCATAAAAATGTTTACAGGGTGGTTAATTGTATAATTTTTACGTAAATTCATGTTTTTCGCAAACTTTTTTCCAATCATTTCCACAAGTACTTTTTTTTCGTCTTCAAAAAACCTACAAAACTAGCCCTCGAGCGTCAAATATATTATTTTCATGCGAATTTTCATTATTTAACGGCAGGACTATGAATTCGTTATTTTCTTCAGACTTGTTGTCGTTCATTTCTCTCACCGTTCCGCCGCGCCACTGCTCGCCGAAAATCAAGCGACCCACTGACTTGACAATATTTCTTATGCACTTAACATACTTCCACAAATAAAATATTTTTACCTGGAAAAGTACTCGGGTTGCCGGTTATGACAGTATTTTTTTTACCGCTACCAACCTAATTTGTTTAACAATCGGCCGTCAACTTTGACAGTCTGTAACTCCGTTGTTTTTCAACGAATCTTGACGATTTTTTTTTTAACTTAAAGCTCTTTTCATAAGCTTTCCGATCATGTAATAATATATAACTATATCACGCTCGTGCGTCGTATATTTCACTAAGGCTAAAAAATTTTTAAAAAAATCCAAGTTGCAAATTTGAAATTTAAAAAAAAATGATAGTTTTAAATGTACTATTATGAAATCTACCTTGAAAAAAATCAATGCGATTGTGGAAGATCCTCGGGATCGTCCAGCCTAAAAATTAGTTAATTTGTTTATAAGCCCATAACTTGTAAACTATTCAACTTACCGATTCCAGATTTTGTGCGAGTTATTAGACAGTGGTAAGGAATGAGAGGATGCGATGCCAAAACGTTCTGGTAATAATAACGCAGTTTATAAATCATCAT